TGTCTTAGTCTTAGACAACTCAGACTGTCTTAGAATAATACTGTCTTAGTCTTAGACAACTAAGACTATCTTAGGATAATACTGTCTTAGTCTTAGACGACTAAGACTATCTTAGGATAATACAGCACAGTTCTAGTCTTCTTCTTCATTATGTTTATGGGTTGTAAACTCAGGCAGAATGTTCTGGTTGTTTGTCCACTTCTGGACTTTGGTCTTGTTCCAGGAACTGAGTCTTTCATATACATCAATTTTACAGATCTGGCTTATTTGCATGCAGACTGATGGTTCCTTGCCTCTCAGGCAGATGCATTCTGACCTCAGAGGAAGATGGTTCTACTGACTGTGAGGTATGGTGACCCATGACTATCTAAGCTCTCATCATTGATTGATTGATTGATGTGTGTGTGTGTGTGTGTGTGCGTGCGTGCGTGTGTGTGTGTGTGTGTGTGTTATGTATGTTATGTATGTTATGTATGTATGTTATGTATGTTATGTATGTTATGTATGTAATGTATGTAATGTATGTTATGTATGTTATGTATGTTATGTATGTAATGTATGTAATGTATGTAATGTATGTAATGTATTGTAATGTAATTTAATGTATGTAATGTATGTAATGTATGTAATGAATGTAATGTATGTAATTATGTAATGTATGTATTGTATGTATTGTATGTAATGTATGTAATGTATGTAATGTATGTATGTATGTATGTATGTATGTATGTATGTATGTATGTATGTATGTATGTATGTATGTATGTATGTATGTATGTATGTATGTATGTATGTATGTATGTATGTATGTATGTATGTATGTATGTATGTATGTGTGTGTGTGTGTGTGTATGTGTGTGTGTATGTATGTATGTGTGTGTGTATGTGTGTATGTATGTATGTATGTATGTATGTATGTATGTATGTATGTATGTATGTATGTATGTATGTATGTATGTATGTATGTATGTATGTATGTATGTATGTATGTATGTATGTATGTATGTATGTGTGTCTGTGTGTCTGTGTGTCTGTGTGTCTGTCTGTCTGTCTGTCTGTCTCTGTGTCTCTGTGTGTGTGTGTTTGTGTATGTGTGTGTGTGTATGTGTGTATGTGTGTGTGTATGTGTGTATGTGTGTGTGTGTGTGTGTATGTGTGTATGTGTGTGTGTGCGTGCGTGCGTGCGTGCCTGCGTGCGTGCGTGCATGTGTGTGTGTATGTATGTATGGATGCATGCATGTATGTATGTATGTATTTATGTATGTATGTATGTGTGTGTGCATGTTCGTATGTATGTGGATGTATTTGTGTACTTAGTGCCTATATGTTTGTGTGTAAGTGAGTCATTGGACTTGTGTGTGTATGTGGGTGTGTGTGTTCGCGCGTGAGCGTGCGTACATATTTTACCAGCCATGCTTTTGTTTGACTTCATATATATAATATGCATATTATTACATGAATATAACATGCTTCATTGATGAAATACAACTGCTGTGTGAAAGATGGAAGTTTGAAAGAGCCGAATGTAAGACAGGCCTGAGTGCCTAATTTGTAACCCTTTGAAAATAAAGTTCTTTCGTTCGTTCGTTCGTTCATGGCATAAAATAACAACTTATTCATCATCTTATTTTACTTCTGATTGAGGTCAGCAAGTAAAAGGTTTAAGGTTGACTTAGAGAAAGTGTTTACAGGAAGACTCACTATACAAAGACAGTGATACCAAAAAATTGTTACACATCAATCAATGTAGCTCTTTACAGACAAATCAATGTTTGGTGGCCGAATCAATCACGTTTAGACACATTGCCACTTCAGCAGTTGCCAACACAGACACTCTAATATTGTTTCGTTTTCTAGGAAAATGAATTTGTATGAACCTGTTTTGACAAACTAGAATTAGCAAAATGAAGTATTGTGTTTTCAAAGCATAGGCGATCAAAAGGATTAAGTTTCTTGTTTTACTTCAAATTATTCGGTGTGATACAATTTTCTTTTGTGACTTTTCTAAAATAGCATCTTCCAACCCTTCAACATCCGCTGCAGAGAGAACTCAGAAAATGACCAAAACTCAGGTCTTAGATTTTATGCAGTGGTTGTTAGATGAAGAAAAAGGTAATTCTAATGATGATAGATTCAGACAATATGGGTTTACATGAAGCTGAAAAAAATGTTTCACTCTAATCGTTACTGTCTCGATGAGTTGTGTCTTGTTATTCTGATACTTGCCATTCACACAAAAATAGTCATCTAAAAAACAGTTGAAGAAAAAATAAAATTTTATGTAAAAAAATCTTCATGTGTCTAACATCCTTAACTCTCTGAGTCCCAGGGGGTTTAGCATCACAGGCCCAAGGGGTAGTCAAGAGAGACGTAAAATCGGCGCATCATGCGTTCATTGGGCCACTAGGTAGGAATCTATAAACGTATGATGCGTTCCTTGGGACTCAAAGAGTTAAATGTGGTGTCATTGTAATATTGTTTTGGTGCAAAACAGATCTATAAGTAGTTTAGATGTAATCTGTGTTCATTTTTTTTTTCTCTTTAATTTGATATATGTCACTATACAGCCAATAATTTTTCTTTAGGAAGGATTTAGCTTTGTCAGGTTGCAGTAAAAAGGTCAGCTCAAAATTAATCCTGTCCAAACAAGAGAAAAAATGCCCGCCCTAAAAGAGTTAATATATAGGAGATGTCAAGGCATTTGCAGAATGCTTCCTGAGAGTAGGACTTACTTTTACACATACAGTGAGCAAGAACTTAAATGTCTGAGTTGATAAATGGGAGAAGTCAGCACATGATTACAGATTTACATGTATTGTTTATCCATCACAAGTAATGAAGATCTCTCTTTATTTCATCTGTCATCAAACTATAGTTGATTGTGAGTCTGGAGGGGACTTATAAGCCTAACATGGGCCTCGAAGGATCTAGGACAATAAAGGCATCAGGACTTTATCTATAGATAAAGGACCTGTTATATAGGTTTTCTAGCCTGTCTTCACCGTTCCATAACATTTTTTTTAGATGCCCTACAAGTGGCTGCACCTCTTTGGATAGACATTCGCTGTGTAGTCCGGTCTTCTGCAGCAGCCTTCCAGGTGTCAGGGTTTATATTGAAGGCTTTAAATGATGCCATCAACCTGTCCTTGAAGCATTTTTTCTGGGCCACCATGAGAGCATCTACCTTCTTCTATCTCATCCTAGAAGATTATCTTACATACCTAATGATTTACAGTGGTTGGTTACAGGAAGACTCCTATAACACATAAAGTGAACAAGGACTTGCCTCATAATTTTATTTGATACATGGAAGAAACAGGGCATATCCAGTGTGTTGACAGACTAAATTATATACATATAATAAAGAAGAACATAACATCTGTTTAAACATATCACAGAAGTCAACATCATAGAGAGCCATGTTATACAGGTACAGTGGTAATCTGGTAATCCTAGTTTCAGCTTCATAGCAAACGAGCCACCCCATAGTTGCTCCGCTCCTGTGCCAACGAAAAACATATGTAGCTCACAGTGTCACGCCTTGCACTCAACTCAGAAGCTGGGCGACAAAACTATATCCTTTGGCACAAAGGAGACACCTTGAACTTGGGTTTTGGACTGCCGACTCCCTACAAGATGTTATTTTATGTTTTGTTATCACAATTGATGTCACTGCACATTAGGCATACCCATGCGTGCTCAGTTCTCCGAAGCAGCAGCCACTCCAAAGTACTTCTACTAATTGTCCCCATGAGAAGCTGGTTATATTGTCTCCTTTCTCGGCCTCGAAGACGGCAAAGACGTGCATCACCATGCTTAACCCCCATGTCACGCAATCGTGTTAGTGTCAACGATTCCTCATTCTCCACTAGCCCAGTTCGTACAGCATTGACAATATCTGCTCTGTCCATGCTTTTTCCTGCAATCATTAGTGCAGTGCTTGCCAGTTGGTCGGCTCGCTCATTTCCCTTCATGCCCGCATGACCCGGTGTGTAGATCCAGGTTATGGAGGTTAAGTGCGATTTCCGAATGCTTTCTATCCATTCAGAGTGCATACTGCCTGTTTCTATCTTCTGAAGCATATTCATTGAGTCTGAGACAGTTACTGCCTGTGTGGCTGTTTGCTCGGATACCCATACTAAAGCTCTAGAAGCAGCGGCTATTTCCATCGTCATGCTTGAGGTGGTTGTCTGGTAAGCACCGCTGTCCTTGTGTATTGTTTTCCCCCTTTTTTGCGCTGTGTATGCCCATGCTGACCTTGATCCGCGCTTGACGGATCCATCTGTGTAGATGATGATATCTTCTGGGTCTGAATGCTGGTCTATCAGTTCCCTTACTTCTGTGTCTACCGCCGCAGGAATTTGATCCCTGCAGTACCTTCCGAGTGTGATGACAACCTTAGAGATGCCATGCATGTCTGCAGGTGTATTTGTCCATTCTTTTTTGTGACTGATCACGTCTAGGTCACATACTTGCTGGATTGAATCCTCAGCCTTTGCCATCCAAGAGCAGCCTCTTTTGAGATGGGTTCCTTTTGTGTACAGGAACAGTGGTCACAAAGCCAGAGGTCCACCATGCAAAAATGGACCCCAGAAATATTGGAGAAACTGAAAAGTACTATTTATAAAACAAAGAGAAGGACCCATTCAAGAGATCTCTTCCTGCACTGACACTGTGAGGTATTCCAGGAACAGAACAGAAGAAGAATACGAAGAAGAAGTCAAAGTATATGTGATGTGTTTACAGAGTAAATACAAACTTAAAAGCTAGTTGCATATCCTTTACTGGACTTGACAACATATGTTTACTGTTTGTGGTTTCACCAGGTAATTGTATGTCTGGTAGCTTACAGAACAGTCTATGCAGATACCGTTGACAAAATCAACGCAAAGTGGTCCACTAACTAATCACCTGCAGCTGAAATGAACCCAGTATGTTAGAATAAGCTACAAATGCCATCAAGCAAGGACTTAAAACACAAACATTGCACCAGAACTTACTGATCATCTGATTAGACATATCAGCATTGTTGAGTTCTTCCCTCAGAGCCCTCTCTCTGTCTTCCAGCATGCGCTGCAGGGATTCAGCAATAAACTGTGCCTGGTCCAGATCCTGAGCAATCACCTGGATTCTGGCTTCTTGTTTCTCCTTGGTGTGTGAGAAACAAATTCCGGATTTAAGTTTAGGGACAACAAGTATTTCTGTAGAAATAGTTCATATGTGTGTCACCCCATGCTTCAACCCCTAGCCTGGAGGACCAAGGTGTCTCTCTTTGTCTGTTCTCTACCATTAGACCTTTATGGAAAGATAATGTCCA